GTAGAAAGAAGGCATTGGATGCCAGAGAGCAAGGACATAAATAGAGATACAAGATGATTCCTGGTGCAGTCAGTTTAAGAAGCATGGGTGTGCAATCGGGGAACCACAGACTTATACTGCAGTTCTCATTCTTCCACTTTCTAGCTGGAAAACCTGGGCAGATTTCCAACTTCTTTGGACTCTTTGTATTGTTTAATGAAGAAATTGAATTAAATGAAGTTTATTTTCCTTCCTGTATTAAGTGGAGGATGTTGAGTACATGGATGATTCTAGGTCTAAACACAGGGGTTTGCTTGTTTCTTTGGCTCTCTCTAGAGCCTGCCAGGCTTTTCCAGGACTTGTCTGACCCCACCTACTGTGAAAGCCATCTTCTGGATGCAGTGAACAGCCTGGGCCTCAACTTTCCAAGAAGGGGGATGATTCCTGGAGACTGTGAGACTGACCAAAGGCCAACAGGGCAAAGTCTAGGCTATGGCCAGGTCCATCCTGGGAAGCAAATGGCATTCTCTATTGAGCCCACTCCTCAATCCAGTCTAACCTGAATCCAGGTTACTTGAGACATGAAATAGACTTGATGTTTGTGTGTCATTTATAAGTTGTTTCAGATACTTAATTTGTCTGAACTATGTAACAACTGGGAAACTAGTTATTTTTCATCATTTCCATTCCACGAATGAGGAAGCTCAGACCTGTCCCAGTTTGGAAACTTAGTTACTTTGTTACAGAGCAAGGTTTAACACAAGTCTGCACTGTCTTTATCTAAGGAAAACTGAATTCCCAAGACAGAGAATGGATTTTAGAGTCAGATGAGCTTGCTTTCTACGTATCCCACGTCATAGGGTGAACTTTGAAGCCAGTATTAGAATTTCTTCCTGTCAAACGCTAGAGGAATGAACTTGGGCAAATTGATGCTCATTGTCATTTCCCTCATTTGGGGGAGGTAGCATCTCAAAGGATTAAATGGCACAGAGCTGCCTAATGTGGTAAATAAATGCACGATCCTTTCATACTATCTTTTTTAAAAAAAATTTTTTAGTTGTAAATGGACACAATACCTTTATTTATTTTATGTGGTGCTGAGGATCAAACCCAGTGCCTCACACATGCTCAGTAAGCGCTCTATCACTGAGTTACAATCCCAGCCCTCATACCATCTTGACTATGTGGATAGAAATACAAAATCTCTCAGCAACTTTTCAAATTTTTCCCTATGTGATTTTCCACAATTTCTATGTCTAAACTAACAAGACATGGGCTATGCAAGGGTTTTTTCTTTCAGTCAAAGGTTAGACTGGGGATCATATATTTGAAATTAAACTACATACAAGGAAATCCTCATTTGCAGGCTAGTTGATAGGACTACATATCCAAAGGAAAAGCAGCATTGTCTGATGGTGTAGGGCCAATCAACCTTTTCTAGGTTGACTGGGCCTGGGAGTTTTGCCCAGTGGCCTGGCATCATGGAGATTTACCCAGCACGCTTCATTGAGCCTGGCCCTGGCTGGAGGATTACATTTCATCCAATGTTGAAATCACTTGAAATTCCCCCTGTTCATCCAAAGACACAGAAATAAAAGAAGCTACTCATGGTCTTGCTGAGAAGAGAACTTTATTGTTAGCCATTCTTGCATCTTTTATTTCCTATGTGCTAAAAATAGATTGACTTGAGATATATATTTTGTCATGAATTACAAAGCAGACAGGTTTTTCACACCCCATACACATTTCATCAAATAGTCAAATTATCTTTTTGCTTGGTTTTTATCTGTTGTCCTGAGTTCTATTGAAGTTTTTTTTTTTTTTTTTTTTTTACCACTTTTCCCTTTTTAACTGTCCAATATTCAGAGGGTTCATTCTTAGGTCTGAGGCTTGAGGTGGAGGGTGAGATGAGGCGGGAGGCCAAATTATTCCTTTAAAAAAAAATGCCCTGCACTAAACACCACATTGGTATCATACACACACACACACACACACACACATCAACTGAAATCAAGTCTAGATTCTACTCCCTCCCCTTCCTCTTCACCAATCCCTTCCCCATTCTGGTGGAGGTCTTTCTCTTCCTACATCTTTGTTTTATTCCTTTATAGAGAGAGACGATGCTTGGGTACCCAGTGAGAAGCTGGGGATTCAGAAGCAAAAGTCATTTCAAGCCACTTTTCAGATATGTCACCCTGAAATACTTGTTCTCTCCCTATCTGACCAGTGGTCACAATGAGTCATCCATTGGGCTTTCATCCATAGCAGCCCAAAATAACAGCAATGTCAGGGCTATGGCTTTCCACTTTTATTAAAACTCTCACTTCCCTTGTACCTGATTATCTTAAAACTAATGTTATTCAATGCTTGGCCATCAGGTTTGTGCTAATTTTGCAAGCCTTTCTCAAATAACCTTTTTAATGTAAGAAAAATTTATCAGCTCTCATGCATGCGATTCTTTGATGGACTCAGGAAAACAATCTCTCCCTGCAGAGAGGACTTTCCTAGAGGCTGTAGAATTACAGGCTTGGAGCTAAATTTAATGCACATCATAACTATAACTCTATATAGTTATATCAATTGATTTTCCCAGATATTCTATCCACATAGAGATCTAAGAACCAAGGGAATAAAATCTAAAGAACAAAAATCTCTTTTGGATTGTGAATCCTTAAAACTTATATACTTCTGCAGTGTAGTTGTTATCTCTTATCAGTATCATAAAACACACACCTAGAACAATGGACCAATGGCCCATTGCCAGTACCTTATTCAATTTGACTTATCCATTTCAGGTAAACACAATGCAATGCTTAACATTTAGATCCCATGAGTGTTTGCTTTTGTTACATGGCTAAGTACTCATTTTCCCTTTGTCTTTTTCTAAGGGGTTTCTTCATGCTTCTCTCTTCAGGCACTTAGAAGTTTCTTGAAGGAGAAACTAATACCCAGCTCTTAGCACAGTGCTGAGAAATGCACTTGGTAAAGATTTCCTGCTTCTGTGAGCTGACTGAAATATAGATAGCCTGCTATGTCCTCCGAGTTAAAGCTTGTACCTTTCCCAGACCTGCTGCCATTTCAAATCTGCCTCTTATACATAAATATTCCTCCAGAGGCCACTGAGCAGAGCTTAAACCAAGCTCTGCTGGTTTCTGACACTTCTGCAGATGTCCACTCTGTCACATCTGCTGACGATAAAAACACTTGGAAAAGGGTCACTTATTTTATATCCAGAAAGTTCACGATCAGTTATTCCCCCATAAAGAAATTTTATTCACACTTTTATTAAGCAAATGGATCATTCGCATAAATCTAAGAGCTTTACAAAGCAAGCAGATATATTATTAGTTGAAAATGCTGGTAGGCAGAAGAAACCATTTAAATTAGGAAAAGCTTGAATGAAACAAACATTTATTGGGTAACTATGTATCTATACCCATATTACCAATGAAATAAAGCCAAACATGCCTCTGCTGGCAGCCAGGGCCCCAATGTTTATTATTGCCCAAGTTTTTTTCTAGCAGCCAACTCTTCGGTTTCCTTCTTTATGATTTCTTCCTATTTGTACTCAGCCAACCTCTATGACACAACTCCTGTTTCCTCCTGGAAACTATTTCTGGCCTTCACTGATTTCCCCAATACTTAAACCCAGGGATTGTAATTCCAACCTACTATTGATCTTTTACACACACGTACACCCATATTTCCATAAATGCATTCTAAGAAGGCAGAGCCTTACTTCCCTTGAACTTTCACAACATTGACTTCATGGAATTTGGACATGAACCCACATGGGGAAGGATACAAGTCACCCATCCTCACCTCAAGTGACCTATGGGAGCTAGGCCCTTCTGACTCATGGTTCACTTAAGAGTAAAGACACCTTGACTAATAAAATTGAGGTCCCCAATCTAAGATCTTGGGTTTTAATGACAGGTTAAATATTACCTATCACATATTTACCATTAGAACATAGGCCTTGCCTTTTCCATTCGTGTCCATACTTACTGGCTTTTCATCCCCTGGAGCCTTTGCTATATATTGTTGCAGACTCTCTGGCATTCCCAGTGGGAAAAGCGGGCCTCACCCTCTCCTCATGACTAAGTTCAGAGAATGTGAAGTGACAGTCCTGTGACTTTTTAACTTGGGTAGAATTCCACCCATCATCTACAAATGCTTGGATCTATATCCCTGGATTGCTAATTATAGTGAATGTGAGGTAAGCTGGTATAGGCTGTGCCCAACCCAATATCCAAGAACATCAGCAGACACTTTCAACCAGGCTGTATTACTGCACATTTTCAACTGCTAAGGTTCAGAAGTCTTGTAGGTCTCATCTTTGAAATGGGATCTACGATCTCCAGCTTTTCTCTTCTTTGCTAAGCATGGGAACGAAAATTGCCTTTAACACTAAAAATTGCTGCTCAGAGTGTGTAAGGGCTTCTTTAGTGTGGACGATACTGTACATAGATGATTACGCCTTCCAACCCTCTGAGACAGAAGGGCAGTGACAGTTTCATAATCAAGCCTCTAAAGTAAAAGGTACATCGGCTTTACAGTGAGGATCTGGGTTCAAACTTAGTATGTCACTTGGCACTGCATGACCTTAATGGTCTCTGTGAGTTTGTTTTTTCATCAGAGATGAATGACACCACCTTCCTCACGAGTTGCTGTACAGGTTATACATAATATATGTAAGACCTCTGGTTCACTGCCTTAATACAGCCGCGACTCCGTAAGTGTTGGCTATTATTATTTTTATTATCTAAGAGTATGAATGACTGTACAGAGTCCATTCATTGGTCTAGTCTAATCAGAAATCTTCCAGAACTAGAGTTTGAGATATTTCTCTCTTCTATCTGTAATGTTGTTAAACAGTGGTAAAGGTTACTTAGTGGGTAGAATGGTTAGAACACCAAGGTGGAAGGATGGTGTCCCTGCTCCCATTGTCTTACACCCACACCCACACCCCAAACTATGTAAACCTCTCTACCCATTTGTCTGTCTCTCCAATCCTACTTGACGGAAATGCTTGTGGTCTTAAAAGGTTTTCAAAAACTGAAGATGGGAAAATGAGGCCCCAGAAAACTATGTATATTCCATCAGAACAGAGAGCAAGGAAGACAGAGAAGGCTAACTGCTACATCTTCTTGTCCTTAGCAACATATTGGCTCTCATGTGCTGGGATCCCCGTCTGATGGGAAGAAATGACACGAAGGTCATGGATGGACCTCACAGTCCACTGTGAAAGCTCTCGCAGCACCTTTAGGCCCCACAGCTTCTTCTCAAAGAGACCACCATCTCCAATAACTGGCATCCCGTCAGACTCATTTGGGGGGATCTTGTGCTCCAGGAGCACCATTAACTCCTCTAACTGGTAGGTGAAGGCCGAAACTTGGAGCAGAATGGTATGTATGGCTTGATGGAAGTCACCTTGCGTTGGAGTAAAATGTACCTGCTGGTCTTCTAAAAGCCTGGCCAACATAACATGGAAGGTACGGTAAGCTTGGAGGTTCTCTTGGAGTCTCTCTGCCTCTGTCAGCTCACTCCACTGATCAGTGCTTGCTACTGGCACACCATCCACAGAGTCCAGGTTGACATTCTTGTTCAGGCCCTGATGCTTCACCTGCCCAAAGTCACAGGAAACATGGCATAATCTGCTGTGATCACCTCAACAATATTATTTAAAATCACATATAAAACCTCATTCACCTCATTGGTCAAGGATTCAAGTTGTAAAGAAAAATAAAATGTCCAGAACAGAAACTCTACTTGGGATTCATAACTGGACTTTAGAAGATCCAATATGGAATATCTGCATTTTTTCTGGAAGAATGTTTTGCTTTCATTAAGTTCTAATGGGTGGAATACACTACTAATTTAGAAGATTTTCTACTCTTTTATAGAAACTGAAATATTTAATGATACTGGAGAGTTCAAGTATTTTAAACATACATGAAGACACTAGCCAAATCTAGGAAACCCTAAAGTAGCTATTTTAGAATTTCCCAATCTCCTTATTCCCACTGCCCACTCTGAATGTGAGATCAATTCTTAAAAACAAAAAAAAAAAAAAAGAGGAATTACATTTTTACATTTTTCAAAAGAAAAGGTAATCAGAGTCTAATTTCTAACTGACAAGGTTGTTCAAAGATAAACCAATTCTCAGAGAACAAAATTCCAGAACTTTCCACAGTAGTCTGGAGTATTTCCAAGGTAAGCCTAAGGTAGAGACTGATAGGGATCCCCTATATCAGAAAACCAGCCCAGAACACCTTTAGAATTTGACAATTTCACAAGTTTCCCAGGAGTCTTCCAGGGGTTTATTTTGATAGTTTATTTTTTCACTCAGATACTAGGACACTTTTGGTGTGTAATACTGAAAAGTGGGTGGCTAATATTATATAGGTATTGTTTGGATTTAAAAATTTCTTCCATATTCACACTGTTCTTCTGCCAAATCATATAAACCTTTCATTTACACAGCTCAAAAATTTATAACAATGCCTGTGAAGTACACAAACTTAGAGGACCCAAGGTTAATCTATTCTGGAAGAATTCAGAATTCAGGCCAATTAGGAACAGCCTTCAAGACACAGAGCCAATCCTACCTACACCACCATATATATTTTCTCATTCAAGGAACATGTCTCCTAAGCATCATGGAGGAAGGCAGTAATAAGCTCACATGAGCTTAGAAAGGGCCATGTCAAATAATAGGCATCCAATACATGAATGACTGTGATTAGGGCTTTCATAATTGGTTGTGGGTCTGGAATATGATGTTAAGGAGCTGGGTCAGAAGACATGATGGGAAAATAGACGACTTACATAAGATTCCATAAGGGCAGTCAGGTCTGAACGAATCTTCCTTGCTAGCCAAATGGAACGGCTACAGAGGTCCCGTCGGCGAGGGGTCCGTGGTGAATGCTCTGCAAAAGCCATCCCCTAACTGTCCCAAGAAACAAGTGAGCTGGGTTTGCTTCTGTCTACACTGGTCCAAATAAGAAATGTGACTCTCAGACTAAATCCACTGGGCATTCTCTAATGGGATTGTGCACCCCCACCCCCTGCCTGACTCAGAGGTGGCAGCAAATTCCTGGCTGTGGATTTTTGTGCCTGTGGAATCAAAGGGCCCTTTTTAATCAGCCTTTTTTTTTTTTTCCCCTGCAGCGTCTGCCTCCATCTCTCTCCTCCACTCAGTACTTAGCACACTTGTTTTTATGTCATTGTTTTGCTTTATGTACTTAGCAACAAAGTCACTATCACGCTAATCCTCAGGACATCCCTGCCTAATGTAATCTATTTTATATGGATAAAATCAAGCTCACTATATCATCATCCTCCCTTATGCTCCCCATGTCTTTTTCTTTTCTTGGCCTGATGAAGTGGTCAAAAAATATTATTATTCATGTAGATGCCATTTATCAAATACCTACCAAGGGTTAGACAGAGACTCTGCTAAAGGCTTTAAAGCAACTTCATTGATCCTTAGAGTAATTCTGGGGTAAATATTTCTTTATATAGTTTCATATTTTGTGCAAGGAAAGGTAATGTGAAATAGGTTCTTTAAAAATGCAACATCTTTTCACTTTTGATCCTTTTGGTATTTTTAAAAGTTAATTTATACTTGGTTAAAAAATCAACTAAGGAAGTATCTCTGATCTCAAACATGGTAGCCACAGATGTAGAAAGTACTGTTTAGGCCTGTTCTCTTCCAGAGGAAACACCCAACCCCAACCTGGTAACATTTCTTAGGCAGTCTCACTCAAGTGACAACATGCTTTTTCTTCTTCCCTGTCCCAGTCATACCACATGCTTAACAAAATAAGAGAATGTGCTGGGCTTTGAAATGAGGACAGAAGATTTAGAAGGTGCTTGGAGAGTATTGCATTTAAGTCAGGATGATGCTGATTGGATAGTCTCAAAAGTTTCATCCCTAAATGGACTGATTAGCTTTCACTATTTCATACCACAGATGCTAGCAATGAGTGGAAATGCACACTATTTCAGGAGCAAATTTACATAGATTAACAATATAAATAGAGACGTAATGGGGAAAATATGAGGCCAGCCAAGCTGTTATAGTGAGACTGTTTATAGAGTATTACAGTTTTGTGTGTCCATTGTTAAACGAGTTAGGACTCCACACAGATATCAGGTCTTGTGAAGCATTGGTCTAATATGCTATTAAGGATTTTTAAAAAAATCATCATTAGAGTGAATTATCTCACAGCAACCTTAATGTCCCCTCTATTAGGTCAATATAGGGCTACTTTTTCTAGTGGAAAACTACTATCAAAGAAGTTTCTAAATTTGTTGATAACTGAATCACATGGCATTCCAGCATTAAACATCAAGAGCTAAACTGAGTCAAATGTTAAGTGCCTGATTCTCAGAAAAAGCAATCAGTTGTGTACCAGCAAACAATGGTATACTGAATATGAAATGTGCCAAGAGCACTGTTTTCTCATTTAGCAGCAATTGTTTCACCCATAGGATAACTTAACTCAGTAGAACCAAGGAAGACAAGTTGCTTCCAGGAGGACAACTTTTATTTTCTTCTTTACATACTTGTTGTGGGTATGCCTTACCTAGGTGAAGAGAAAACAAGGATCTGAAAAGCAAAGTATCCCTTTTATTATAATTTCTTTTTACACAACCTTTTCAACCTAGATTCAGGTATCTTAACTACCCATCTCTTTCATCAAAGGAGAAGGGTCCTGCACATTACAATAGGCAAAAAAGGCTTTCAGGAAATAAAATATTTTCAATTGATCCATTACAATTTTTCAATTTTCTTGAGTACATTGGAAAGTGGGAAAGACAGGAGGAAAAATGGTACTGCAAACAATGAGACTGTAATAATCCTATTTAGGTTGGTAGTATATTTTATGACTTTTTTTCCCTCCAAACAGGTACAAAGGAGGTTCAAGTGCTCTATGTGGATGCTTTCTATACCTAAATAATTTTCTTATTCCCAGTACTCCTAGCCAGTATCTAAACTGTCTGAAACATATTAAGATTGTTCAAATTAACCCTGGGCAATCACAAGCAAGGGAGAAGTACATCTTCTAGAAATACCGAATAGTGACATCTCAATGACATTATCAGAATTTAGAAATGCCAATTCAAGCTGGAGAATATGACGTGGCAAGTTATTAAAAAGGTAACAAAATCAGACTAATAAAGAGTATGAAATACAGATTTTCAAGATTAAAAGAGCTCCTTGGAAACACAATGAAATAAACAATGGCAGGGGGAGCAGAACATAAATGGGGCTTACATAGTTTACTTATATAGACTCTTTACTATGCTAGCATTCCTTTCTCAAAAGGAAAAATATAAACTCCATGAAAAATATTTTAAAGTTTATTGCAAACTGCTACAATAATTTATTGTCAGCAAATGGTAGCTGTGAAAGAGGACTCCCACCCCCCAACAAAGGGGAAGTATAGGAGTTTCCAATTGGAACTAACTGGTTGCTTTTTATGGGGAGGGGAGTGTGATACAAAGGAGAACATATTCCCCCATCCCAGAGAAGTGCCGTTCCCCCCCTTAATGCAATTTGCTTTTGTATAGGTGGATAAAATATCTGATGACTAACCAGTGCAAGTGAAGTTCATGAAGACAAAGTCTAGGTGTGACAAAGACAAAAAGGTAAGTGTGGGATATAGATGCTAGTTAGTGAAACAGTAAAAAACGGAACTTTGTTGTAGACCCACTCAATCCATCTTAGTATTTTCAAATCTAATCAACATACCAAATTAAAACTGCAAACCCCTCGCTGTGGGCCGGAAAGCATATTCTGCATCCCTTCTATCTTTTCTGTATTCCTTCTATCCGTATTCTATGTTCTACCCTCACATTGGAGAGATGGCAGATCTGCAACACTCTGAAACAATAGTGCATTTAAGACTATTTACTGTAGGTGTCTCACTCCCTATTCCTTGGCATCCCAACCACCGACACTAGTGGGTGTACAGTAAGCCTCTTTCAGAGATGACATTGTTACCCCCCTTTTGGAAAAAATAAATCAAAGAGAAAACTGACAAATTTGGTAGTTTTAGTGTTTGTGAAAAACAAGTTGTTCCTTATTTTGTTCTCAGCAAAACTTCATTCTTTCCAACAGCCATCACACATTTCTGACAATAAACAAATAGGGTAAGTTTTCAGTTCTGGCTTCTGAGGTACATAGGATAGGAATTGCCCTTCTAAGACTCTAAAAATCAGTCAAAATAAGTTTTTAGTCTTTTGAGAGTTACAAGCTTGTACAAAAACACCCATGTATAGTAATAAGCAATCCACACCCCATGAAAATCTATCTGAAGGGAAGTGGTAATTTCCAGAACTTCAGGTGAAAGCCAAAGCCATTATCATATAGCCTAACTTTGTCTACTGAAGTCTTTTCTGAGGTGTTACTAAAAGAGAAACAAATCAGCAGTTTTCTTTGACTTACTTAGGACTCTTACACTTTGTTCTTTCTCTAACAGTGTCTAATAGGGAGCTGCCGCAAACCAATGATAAAGCAAAGCAAAAAACAAAAACAACAACAAAAAAACAAACCAAAACAACCAACAGGCAAGAAGGGTGATATATAAAAGGAAATGATAGAGACAAAAGGAAATTCACAAGAAAAAAAAAATCTCATATCTGTAACTCAGACCTGAACAACCATCCTCATCCCCTCAAAATTCCTTAAATCTCAATGCTCTTAAAATCTCAAAGAGCACATTGGTTACCACAAACCCATTATCCTTCCCTAAGAAGGCTTCCAAAAAAAAGCACTAGGCTATTGTAGTGATTTTGTTAGTGCTGAGGACCAGCTTTCTTTAAAGGCCACTGGAGAGCTATGATTTTAGAGGCTGGCTGTGCTTTTCAACCCTATACCTTGCCTTCAAAGTACCTTTTGTGGAAAGGATCCCATGTCAGAATAATCTAATCTCTCCCAGCCCCACAAAATATAGCAACGAAGACCCTCCCCCCCCAAAAAAATCAGACTTTCCATTAATAAATAAGGAATCTCAGGTTCCACAACACAAAAACACACATGTTCAAAGTGCAAATTTCTGCCATTAGCCTGGGACTTTTCTCACTGTCTCACTAATACACAGCCCTATCTTACAGTCAAAAAGACTGTGTAGAGGGCAGCCCCCTCCCTCTTGGGAGCCTGCTTCCAAGCAAATAAGCACCATTAAGAGCCATATGAAGGTTTGGGAGGGGGAATGAGGTGCTGGGATCAAAGAGGAGGGAGGTGGTCCACATGTATCCTTCCTTTCCAAAACCCAGTGGGGAATGGAGAAAGAGAGGTGAGAAACATGTGCTGTTTTAACAGCACATCCTGTTAAGGGGCCCTAAAGTGCCAAGTCAAGCTGCCAGCCTCCAGAGATTAGAATTATATAGTATTTGAGGATAAGTGTGTTGCAGTGGGTAGAAGCCAGAACCATAGGGCAGCAGTGGAGGAGAAGATAGGATTGAAAGGACAGTAGTATACTATTGAGTCAAAAGCTGATCCAGAGCACATCGGAGTTATGGGTTGGAAAGGGGATCTGCCAATTGAGCAGAAGTCTGCTGCTGGCTGGAACCGAGTATGAGGATTAACCCTCACTTTTAGAGCTGCTGCTGCTTTTTGTCTACCTTTCTGTTAAAGGCAACATCAATTTTATAAGAGGGAGAACAGAGGGAGCTCTTGGGATGGGGTTTGTGTGTGCTGTGATCCACAATGGAAAGAGCAGGCCCTTCAGTTATTTTACTAGATTTTAAATGCTTTAAATTTTTTTTTTTTTTTGTCCTTTTTATCTTTTAAATACAAAGTCTGAACTGTCCCAGTGTCCAAAGTCTTCCTTTCCACTAAGGTCCAGTAGAGTCTGAATCTTCAATCAGAACCTCTGTGGTAGCACCGAGAATATCCGAGTTCATGACCAGCCCTTCAGTGCCCCCACTGCTGCCACTTCCCACAAAGATCTTTCCATCAGCCATCAGGCTCACCCGTTCTGTCCCACTGCAGTACGACTTTGACATCCCTT